GTACAAAGATTCTAAATAAGTCCAAAGAATTTTATTATCTTTTTTAATATGTCCAAAGAATATAAATAAATGTTTTCCATATCCCAGCACCTTCTAACTATAAAAACATAGAAGTGAAAATTGATTGAAATCTAACATTGATTTCAAAGACAAGATAGATCTTAATTTTAAAAACATTTGTTTCTTAAATGAAAAAATAAAAGCAGGGGGGAAAAAATGAACCCACATTTATAACACTGGATCTCCTCCAACTTTTTAAAAAAATTTTTTTCTGATTTAAGAAATGCATGACCATTATAGAAAATTTGGAAAATACTGAATTTCCTAGACTCTAATATACATAAGACTGTTCTACAGTTTTATGACTTTATATACAAGTATATTTTTAATAACTTCCAATTCTTCTTTCTTCCACATCATCTCCCAAAAAGCAGGGAAGGCAGCTCCACAGAGGATACAGCCTATGGGGTCCACCTATGGAGGATACAGACTATAGTCAAATATACCACACCATCTATCCTCACTGTGGGCTTCTCTCCTTGTTGAGTTGTGCCTGTTCCCTTGCTTACTTCCCATATTTCTATATAAATGCACAACCCAGCCCAAAGTACTGCCAAGAATGCTCAAAAAACTGCTAGTACCCAGCCTAACATGAAAACTCGCAGAGTCAACTTCCAGCTGCCTTGTTAACTTCAAAGCCAGGCTTCTCCCCAGTAACACCCTAAAGTTTTACCTCAGCCAATGAACATTTTAAGCAATAGCTAATACCTCTTAAAATTCATATGGCGCTTTATTTATTTATTTTTTTTTTATAGAGGCATGCTTTATTTATTTGTGTGTTTGTTTGTTTGTTTTGTTTATACAAGCACTGGGTACAGTCAGAAGCGCGGGAGGGTGAGAGAATTCACCAGAGCCAGAGCAGGGAGCAGAGCAGGCAGAAGGACCGAAGCACACTGCTGAGGGGAGCAGCGGGCGGCAGGAGAGGTCTGCGCGCCATGTGGGACCCTCCTCCGGTGGCCGGGGAACAGCCGGGGATCGAACCGGCGCCGCAGAGGCCGCGGGCAGCTTCGCAACCCAGCGCTCAACCGCTGCGCCACCGGGGAGACCCTTCATATGGCGCTTTAAAGTCTAAATCTCCCATACATTTAATTTTCACAAGATTCCGCCAAAGTAGACTGAGCAGGTATTCCACTTAATGGGAAAGGAAACGAAGGTGCAGAGGAATTGAAAAAAGAACATAGCTAATAAATGAAGCCATAACGTCTGGAAGGCATAAACTGACTCCAAATTCAGAGTTCTTTAGCCATTATTAACGTTAACACCATTTTAAGTCTGACAACTACTCAAGAGCCCGAAGTTTCGATAAATCATCTAACCTGGTCCCTTCTTGTATTCACATATAATTAAAATGAGGCCCAGAGAAGCTAAGGTGATTGCTGGGAAGTGAATGCTCAGAGGTCCCAAACAGAAGGCCACTCGTTCAAGATGGCAGGTCTTGTCAACGAGGGCCTGAAGTTCATGGCAACACTGGCAAGCAGTGGGCTAGGATCCCATTGGAGGCGCTCACAGGTGGGGCTGCTGCGAGAACACTGCAGCAGCCCATAACAACAGTCAGAAGGCCAGGCTGGACAGCACCGGACACTGGGCCAGGCAGCAATGGAGACAACAGTACCGGGAAGCAGTGCCAGATGATCGGAGGTAGTGGCCAGCTCTCAAAGGTGACCCAGACATAGAGCGACAATCATCTGTCAACAGTGCTGGACAGCACTGGCCAGTAGTACCAGACACCAAGAGGCGGTGTCAAAGACACCAGCGTAACAGCTCTTTGTGAGTTGTTGGCCTACACCACTAATAAACAGCTCTTTGAGGCACCAGACCAAGGCTGATGATGCTCCTTTCAGGCCATGTCAGAAGCAGGGCCAGAGGCAGGTGCACTGCCAGGTCTTTGTAACCTGATCTTTCTTTGGGGGAGCAGCTGTTGATCCTTCTTTCTTCAGAGGACAGGAACAGAGTGCCTACGCTTGTTCCTACCCTGTCTTTTATCCTCTTTCAGGTCCCCACCCCACAAGTCCTATTGGACTGTTTTCAAGCCTAAGTGACTAATTGGACCATCAAGCATCAATCAGCCCATTCTTGTTTTTCAATCCGAATAATTAACTAGCTGATTGAACATGACTGGTTCATTCTGATCGGTCTATTCTACGATCCAGGCACCAAATATAAAAAGGAAACTTGGTGCCTTCATAGACCTGACCTGCCCTGACCTCAGGGAGGGCTCATGGGCTGGTGGGCTCATGGGCTGGCACCTCAGTGAGGCTAGAGGCATGATGTGTCTGGTACCCCTTCAGTAGGGCCGAGTATGACAATATAAAAGGATGGGTTCTGCTGGGAGCTAGTCAAGTTGAGCTAGTCAAGTTGACCCAGGACTCCACGGGCCTCTCTACTGCTTCTCCCTGAAGCCTTGAACCAGGGGCTGCATGCCCTGGGGTGATGTGGCAGGAGCACCACTGCTGCCTGTTGTCACTGCCAACAGCAGCCTGAGCCCCACTGGGGCCACTGATGGGGGACAGTAAAATGCCTGCCACCTCTCCCACTTGCACTGCCCATTAGCAACTACTGGGACCAGGCGCCTGAGCCCTGAAGGCAGAAGGCTCTGGTGCTCAAACCCAACTAAGGCCTGGGCAGCAATCAAGCCTGGCCCACTGTGTAGTAGTCAGGTCCCTAGAAACGCCCACTCTGCCTCAGGAGCCTTAGTAAGGGCTCCAAGCTCAAACCTGCCCAGGGTGGGGCTGCCCCACAGGGGGCAACTCCCAGGGAAGCTTTTAGAGTGGGCACGGTGGAAAGGGCGGGAAGCCACCACTGCTGCTGCCAGCCATCTCCAGGTGCAGTTGCCCCTGCCCAGGTCTCAGGGCTGGGGCAAAGCCAGCCATGCCCTGCACCTTGTGCAGTGGGGCTCTGGCTTCAGGACCTTGAGGAATATGCAGGCCAACCCTCTCGCTTTATAGACAGGAATGTGAGGTCCAAAACCACCTCTTCTGATACTCAATTCTGTGCACCTTCCACTCATATTACTTCCTCTCTAAGTAGTAATAAATAAATCTGGTCACAGATGTTTACTTCCTTTTTTTTTTGACACTCAGTATGTGAAAGGTCACAGATCAGCAAAACCACAGTGAAACTACACAGGGTGTGACGCAGCAGCTGGTAACAGATGTCCACATCAGGGCTATATCACAAAATAACTAGGGGAAGTAAAGTATCAGGCTTTCCTGCGCTCCCGCCATTAGGATAGATGAGGGAACCCTGTGGTCCTGAATGCCCGCCTGATGGCGGGCACCTGGAGTGGGGTGTGGGGCTATGTAGGTGGGCACACCTGGGCTGAGAGACTGGGCTTATAAGGGCGGCATCCCAGGGACGCCAGTGGAACAGCAGAGCGAAAGAGAGACCAGAAGGGAACCAGCAGAGAAGCAGAGGCCACGAGAGAACACCGGAGAGCCCAGAAAGACTGAGGACTCGCAAAAGGCCTGGGAGGCTTGCCAGCCTCCCGGCCCAGCTGTCTCCCGTGTACCTGGTAAATCCCAACAAAAACCTGCAAAAGCCACTGAGGCCCCTGAGGACTCTCCTCCTTCACCTGTCTGCTCGCATCATAGAGATCCTGCTCCGAGCCTTCCTGCCGCTACAATAACCAAGTTCTGCAGGGTTCCCCCATCCAGTTTGAGAGAAGGCCAAGTGAAACGTGTGCCTTGGGAAAGGGCAGCAAAGGGCCCTGTGGAGTCCCCATGCCTTTCTCTGTGAAAACAGGAATATTCTTTCACCAAAGAATAAAGGTCTCTACTGCGCAAATCAGTCAAGTACCCTAATTAAAACAGCAGGGAACAGCACCAGGGCTGGCATGGTTGTCTGACCCCAGAGGGCCCAGACTCTCCTACCACAGGTTCTGTGCATCACCCAAAGCAGCGCCTGGTTGCCAGCTGCCTCGACTCCTCCTGGCAGCCCCCTGGGTCGGCGGCAACGCCTAGCGCTCCAGCGAGATGGGAAGCTCTTTGAGGACAAGGGACCATTCTCTAACACGCACACCGCACGGCAGGCACTGCCTGCAAGGATAAGAAGCGGCCCCGACCTTCGAGAAACTTACAGAAGGATAAGCAAGAAACATGTCCAAAAACAAACGCAAGCAGGGGCCCGAGGCGCCCGGGAGGGCATCGGGGGCGCGCCCGAGGAAGGTGAGCCCGCGGCTTGCAGCGACCGGTGGGCTGGGGAGGGCGGGCGCGGCGGGCGCGAGCCAGGGGGGCCGGCGTCGGCCAAGCAGAGACGGCGCCGCGTCTGCGCCACCCCGGGAGCGGCGGGGCAGGCGGGCGACGGCCTAGCAGGTGACAGCAGGCGCCGGCCCGCGGACCTCGCGCCGCCCGGGCCCCGGCAGGGCCGCTGACGCAACTGCGCGCAAACGAGTCGGGCGCCCGCGGGGGGCTGAGCGCGACGGCGAGCGCGGCCGCGCCGGCCCCTCCCCCGCGCACCTGTGCGCCCCGCGGCCGTCCAGCCCGGAGCCAGCCCGGAGCGAGCCCGCGCCCCCGGCCCGGCCCCGCGCCCCTCCGCGGGGTTTCGAACGCCTGTTGACGCGGCGCGGCGGGCGCCCAAGCGCTGGCGGGCGGCCCCGCGGGCTCCGCTGCGGTGGCCGCCGGGTCCTCCCGGAGAGGACGCTGCGCGGACCTCCCGCACCCGGCGGCGAAGGCGCCCTCGGCCCGGCTGGCCCTGGGCCCGGCGGGCAGGGGCCGGGCGATCTGGAGCTGGCGCCGGGTGCAGACCCGAAAGCCGCCCTCTCGGGGGCGGGGGGGGGGTGCGCAGCACCCGGCGGCAGGACGGCCGCCCCCTCTCCGCGCCCGGCGGGCACCCGGGGCGGCCGGCGGGGGCAGAGGCCGGTCGGGGCGGGCGCCGCGGGCGCGGGCGGCTCGGGGTCGAGGTCGAGGTCGGGCTCGCGCGGCCGGGGTCCGCGGCGGCATTACCTGGCCAGGGTAGTTTTCCCCGAGCCCGGGAGGCCTCGCAGGAGGTAGAGGCGCTTCCTGAAGCTGTGGCGGCGCCGAGGTGTCCCGCGCGGGGGCGGCGGGGCCGGCGGCCGAGGCTGCTGCTGCCGCTTCTGCTGGAGGCTGAGCCTCCCAAAGGATTCGAGAATACTCTCCTCCATGGGTGGGGGCTGGCGGCCGGAGCCCCGGGCTCCAGTCCCTTAAGTCAGGGTCTTGGCCAAAGCTGTTGTTTTTGTGGCTCTCCGGCCATGTGATAGATGGAGGGGCGGGCGCTCCGAGCCCAGCCCCTCCTTCCCTCCCGCGCGAACCGCGCTGCGTGGGAGGGGGCGTCCCTACCTGGGGCGCTGGCGACTAGGAGGCTGACAGCAGGGGAAACAGGGCGAAAGGCCCCCGCCCCGCGCTCTGCGCCTCCCTCCTTTGCCTCCCGGCGCCTTTGGCCCTGAAGGGAGGGATCCCCTCGGTGGGACACCTGGACACCTCACCAGCACACGCCCCCCCACAGCGTCCCCGCCCACTCCCGACTAGGTGGAAACAACAGCTCCCCCCCCCACCCCCCACCCCCGCCCCGGGCCTGCCTAGACCTCGAAAGTGAAATTTCAGTTGTCATTAAGGAACGTGAACGGCATTTTGAATAGTAACAGTAAAGGCCACGTCTCCCTCAGTTTTGAGCACCAGCATTTGGCTGGTGTCCCAACAGCTACCACCACTTTTTCAGGGCGTGTGCCTTATTTTCTTCCCCATCTGTATCAGCCTGTAAATACACTCTTAGGAAGCTCTGTTATCGCTACGTAACTTTACATCCCTTCTTTCTCAGAAAAAGCACCCCTTAAAACTCACACTGATCTGCCAACAGTAGTGTAATTAACTAGGTTTCCTCAGAAAGGCGAGCTACCGCCCCTGCACACGCTCTGTGGCCACACCTCTTCAGAGAGGCCTCTCAGGAAACGTTTCAGCGCCCCAAGAAAAGTAGCAGTCGAAACATTTTTACAGCAGTGACCAGAATTAAGTTCCAAGTGCCTGTAGCTGGTGAGCACCAATTGGTTGTCACCACCTTACTCTCCAAAATTTCACACACAGGGGTGTCATGGAGCGAATGCTATTGTCTGAACCAAAATTCAAGATGATTTGACTGAAAGTGGCAATATTAAAAATTAACACCATTCTGCAAAGTCCAGGAGTTATGATGGCTGGGATTGTAATCATTATAGTAAAGTAAACACATGTTGTTTCTGGCGGCTAAAGTAATTTTTTTTTTTTTGGAAAAGGAACCGTGAAGAAAAATCTTTCCTGAATAAAATTCAGAGATTAAACTAGAAGCTTTGGAAGGGACTATCCAAGAAGGGAGGGGTTCTGTGTTGAGAATTTCACTTTCAGTTTGGGATTCCCATTGAGGAAAACGGCACCGGGCATAGACTGCTCTTTCTCTCTGAAAATCCCTTCCCAACTTTGGAGGAAGGGTACTTTGTGATTCTTCTCAGCACCAGTGTCTCTAAATATTAGGGGGCAATCCAGAGGACTAGAAACAATATGCAGTGACTCATAAAAATAGTGGTTCTTTTCATGTTTGCATCCTATCATCCTACTTGTGAGTGTTTTTACCCAGCCTCAAAAACTACCCTTTTCATTCTAGACCACACTGTCCAATAGAGTAGCCACTAGCTCCAAGTGACTATTAAACCTTTGAAATGCAAGTAGTGAAAATTGAGCTAATATACACACTGAATTTCAAAGTTTTAGTGAAAAAAAATATAAAATATTCTATTAACAGTTTTAAACTGATTATGTGTTGAAATGGTAATAGGTTGTGTGTAATGGGGTTAATATATTACTAAATGAATTTCACCTGTTAATTGCTTTTCTGATGTGATTGCTAGAAAAGTTTGTTACTTCTGTGGCTGGCATTACATTTCTACTTGGACAGTGCTGCATGAGACTTCTGTCCACTACTATTTCCTTCCTAGATGGGGGTCCAAGAGACAATTGGAAGCCTCACAGGTTTGGGGGCTAGAGGTTTTGGGACACTGAGTGTGCAGTGACTGTGCAGGTAGAGCAAACTAGTAGATGCTGGAAAATTTGTGTTGCTCAGAAGTGAAAGCTGAGCTGAAGACAGCTTTGGAAATTACTGCCAGATGAGAAGGAGATAGAATAGGGCAGAGAACTGAAAAAGAGGCCCTATAAACACCAGGACTGGGGCTTTGAAGTGGATCTGCTGAAGGAGAATAGGACAGAATGATCAACACTCTGAGGATGGTGATGTATGGAAGTCCAGGGAGGAAGAGTTTCAAGGAAGAGAAAGTGGCTGGCACTACTTGGAAGTGACCCTAGACACTTCTCCTTTCTCTCAACTAGCCAACAAGCTCTAACTATTTTCCCCAATTGATTCCTCCAAACTACAGCTGTGTTTGTGTATCTATTTCCTGTCATCCTTGTTACTGTCATCCTTGTTACCACAGGAACTACCACAATCCCTGACACTCAGAAGGTGCTTAATAACTTTATATGGGCCTAAACTACAGAGTCTGGACTTGCAATTTACTAAATTAAGAGCGAAGAAAAAGTGATGTTATCAGCTGAGGAATAACGGAAAGTGACCGTGCTGACAGATCCAAAAGCCAGCTTGCTGTTAGCTACACCCAGATCCTTACTGGAGGATACACTGGTCCTACCATGTGGCAACCTGCTTCTGAAGGTCAGGGTGGGTACCCCTGACCCAAAACACCTCTGTGCTCCCACTCTTTTTTTTTTAATTAATTTATTTATACAAGCACTGGGTACAGTCAGAAGCGCGGGAGGGTGAGAGAATTCACCAGAGCCAGAGCGGGGAGCAGAGCAGGCAGAAGGACCGAAATACACTGCTGAGCAGAGCAGCGGGCGGCAGGAGAGGTCTGTGTACCTTGTGGGACCCTCCTGTGGTGGCCGGGGAGCAGCCGGGGATCGAACCGGCACCACAGAGGCCGCGGGCAGCTTCGCAACCCAGCGCTTAACCGCTGCGCCACCGGGGAGGCTCTTATAAATCATTTTTGGCAACTGAAAAAACATTCACATGTGGGTCTCCCCTGGTGGCTCAGCAGTTGAGCGCTGGGCTGCAAAGCTGCCTGCAGCCTCTGCAGCGCTGGTTCGATCTCCGGCTGCCGGTGAGGGTCCCACACAGCACGCAGACCTCTCCTGCCGCACCCGCTGCTCCCCTCAGCAGTGTATTTCATCAGTCTGCCTGTTCTGTTCCAAGCTCTGGCTCTGGTGAATTCTCTCACCCTCCCGTGCTTCTGACTGTACCCAGTGCTTGTATAAATAAATAAATAAATCTTTTTAAAAAAATTCACATGATTCTCTAATTATTACTATTAACAAGATATGGGAAAATAAGGAAGTGTACAAGAGAAGCTAGTAGAAACCAGGAATTTAACCCTCAAAACTACAGTTCAAATACCCAGGATTTAGAATGCTAACTGATAAATCAGCTTCAGATTCCTCTCTTGGGGATACCAAGATGGCAGAAAGTCTGAACCCAAAAGGATGCTTCCAAAGCAGTCACCACAGACCCTTCAACATAGCAGAACTACTTCAAATAGTATATAGATTTTTCCAATTCTCTCTAAACATATGCCCTTTCCCCTACCAGAAACTTCTTTTCTGATTTTTTTTTACTAAAAAAATAGTTTTATACACACATATTCATCTTGTTTTATATGTGATATGACTTGAGAGGATGGAAAGAAGTCTACCTTTGCTTCTTAGCTATTTCTAGAGGATTTCCAACTGCTCCAGCATCTGCAGCATGCGCCTTCCACCACAGTCTGCACAACACGGCCAGTCAGGAGAACCCTGTTCTCCACTGTACCTAACACTCTCCTGCCTGGTTTCCCTCACCCCTCCCCTGGAATCCAGATAGAGGCTGCCAGAAGCAGGAAGAGGTCAGTGCAATGGGGCCAAGGAAGAGAAGCAATGCAGAGTATGCCCAGTAGGCTGGACTGACGTGGAAATTCTCAGAACCCTGGTGACCCGGGGACTCTGGTAGCCTTGGATAAGTCTGTAATGAGGAAATGCCCTTTGAGCAAGTCTGATTTTGCTCATCCTATCTCATACTGCCTCTGACTCCACATTGCATCCCTCACTCTTGTTGGTGTCACACTCCACCCCCAGGGCAGCAACCGTATCTTCTGTGTCCGCAGGATCTGCTATTTGCCAGAGCACATAGGGGTACTTGTCATAAGCTATGAGAAGGAAGACTGAGGCTGAGAATCCCCAAATCCATTTTCTCAAGCTCCATTTTGGAAATTAGGGTGAGGTGATAAAGGCAAGAGCTGGAAAATGCAGAGGTAGGGGATGAAGATATTCTAGAACCAAGTTTAAGTCTGGGTGTATATTCTTGTTTTGTATCAAGCATAAAAGTGTTCAAAACTGTTGACTACAGTCCTATAACCTTACTAACACACTTGGTCAAAGCCATGGTGGTGTGGATTCTATTATGTTCACTAGAAACTAGACATAAATGTTACTCTCAAATGCCCCTACATGCAAAGATTTGCCAGATGCCAGAGTTCCCTCACAGCTCTGTGTGCTTTGACTCTAATATTGGCCAACCCTTTCTTGAATCATCCTCTACTGGACCAAAAGCAAGTTCAATTTCATAACGACTCTAGGATCCTACAGAGAGCAAGACCTCTGGGCACTCAACAAAACACTGAAGACCTTAGTTGCTGTCTGGCAGAGCACTACTGTCTCATAGAAAGATAAACTAGAACTGTATGAAATGAACATAAAGAAAACACTGAGATAAATAAAGCACTCAACTCCCAGAAAAGATGGCAGATGGAACACAAGTATTTAGATTCGTCTCCCTCCTTAAACCCCCACTAAAATGTAAAGGGAATTTTTTAGGGGGAGGGTATTTTGTTATCACTTTTAGGCATAAACTATAAGAAGAGAGAGAAAATCACAGTAATAAGTTTGAAAACTGGAAAGCAAAGGCCAAGTGTTAACTGATTTGGCAAACACACACACACACACACACACACTTTACAGAAAGCCAAGAAGCAACACAATTAACTCTGTATAATTCCTAAAATTCAGGAACTTGAAGATTTGAGATGGAGCTCTAAACAGGACAGTGAGATGAAAGTGTTTAAGAAACAAATTGCCCACAGCCAAGCACTGTCCATACCCTGGAGAAGCCTGGAAGACAAGGTAGGCTCCGGGAGCAGTGAGGAGTATAAGACAGATGGGGCTCCTGTGTTGAAAACGGGGCTTAAGTAAATGCCTACATGTTGGAT